ACAGCCACGGACGCCTGCGTGTCCCCCCCGGACGCCTTTGTGTCCCTCCCGGATGCCTGGGTCCCCCCCTGGATGCCTGGGTCCCCCCCCAGATGCCTGAGTGTCCCCCCCCCCAGGGCACCTGGGACCCTCTCAGCTACCTGGGTCCCCTCCTGGCCACCTGGGATCCTTGTCCCGATGCCTGGGCCCCCTCCTGGACACCTGGGTCCCTTGTCCCAGTGCCTGGGTCCCCTCCTGGCCACCTGGGATCCTTGTCCCGATGCCTGGGCCCCCTCCTGGACACCTGGGTCCCTTGTCCCAGTGCCTGGGTCCCCTCCTGGCCACCTGGGATCCTTGTCCCGATGCCTGGGCCCCCTCCTGGACACCTGGGTCCCTTGTCCCAGTGCCTGGGTCCCCTCCTGGCCACCTGGGATCCTTGTCCCGATGCCTGGGCCCCCTCCTGGACACCTGGGTCCCTTGTCCCAGTGCCTGGGTCCCCTCCTGGCCACCTGGGATCCTTGTCCCGATGCCTGGGCCCCCTCCTGGACACCTGGGTCCCTTGTCCCAGTGCCTGGGTCCCCTCCTGGCCACCTGGGATCCTTGTCCCGATGCCTGGGCCCCCTCCTGGACACCTGGGTCCCTTGTCCCAGTGCCTGGGTCCCCTCCTGGCCACCTGGGATCCTTGTCCCGATGCCTGGGCCCCCTCCTGGACACCTGGGTCCCTTGTCCCAGTGCCTGGGTCCCCTCCTGGCCACCTGGGATCCTTGTCCCGATGCCTGGGCCCCCTCCTGGACACCTGGGTCCCTTGTCCCAGTGCCTGGGTCCCCTCCTGGCCACCTGGGATCCTTGTCCCGATGCCTGGGCCCCCTCCTGGACACCTGGGTCCCTTGTCCCAGTGCCTGGGTCCCCTCCTGGCCACCTGGGATCCTTGTCCCGATGCCTGGGCCCCCTCCTGGACACCTGGGTCCCTTGTCCCAGTGCCTGGGTCCCCTCCTGGCCACCTGGGATCCTTGTCCCGATGCCTGGGCCCCCTCCTGGACACCTGGGTCCCTTGTCCCAGTGCCTGGGTCCCCTCCTGGCCACCTGGGATCCTTGTCCCGATGCCTGGGCCCCCTCCTGGACACCTGGGTCCCTTGTCCCAGTGCCTGGGTCCCCTCCTGGCCACCTGGGTCCCTTGTCCCAATGCCTGGGTCCCCTCCCATCCACCTGTGACCCTTGTCCCGATGCCTGGGCCCCCTCCTGGACACCTGGGTCCCTTGTCCCAGTGCCTGGGTCCCCTCCTGGCCACCTGGGACCCTTGTCCCGATGCCTGGGCCCCCTCCCGGACATCTGGGTCCCTTGTCCCAGTGCCCGGGTCCCCTCCTGGCCACCTGGGTCCCTTGTCCCAATGCCTGGGTCCCCTCCCAGCTAATTGCATCCCCTCCTGGCCAGCTGAGACCCTTGTCCCAATGCCTGGGTCCCCTCCTGGCCACCTGGTTCCCTTGTCCCAATGCCTGGGACCCCTCCCATCCACCTGTGACCCTTGGCCCGATGCCTGGGCCCCCTCCTGGACACCTGGGTCCCTTGTCCCAGTGCCTGGGTCCCCTCCTGGCCACCTGGGACCCTTGTCCCAATGCCTGGGTCCCCTCCCATCCACCTGTGACCCTTGTCCCGATGCCTGGGCCCCCTCCTGGACACCTGGGTCCCTTGTCCCAGTGCCTGGGTCCCCTCCTGGCCACCTGGGACCCTTGTCCCAATGCCTGGGTCCCCTCCCATCCACCTGTGACCCTTGTCCCGATGCCTGGGCCCCCTCCTGGACACCTGGGTCCCTTGTCCCAGTGCCTTGGGTCCCCTCCAGCTAATTGCATCCCCTCCTGGCCAGCTGAGACCCTTGTCCCAATGCCTGGGTCCCCTCCTGGCCACCTGGGACCCTTGTCCCAACACCTGGGTCTCTTCCCTGCCACCTGGGTCCCTCATCCCAACACCTCTGTCCCCTCCCATCTACCTGGGTCCCCACGAGGGCCACCTGGGTCCCCATCCGTCCCACCCGGCGGGTGCCTGACGGGTGCGGGAC